TTAAATGCAAATAGGCATTTAATATCACATCTAGTTTGTTGCTCCAAAGGAGGGAATATTTTAGGAAATATTTGGATTTTTTTGGTGCAATGCGGACGTTCTTTGCTCATCTCTTCCATTTCACACATTATCTTTTAGGTGTACCCCCAAAAAGGTAACACATAGATGAGACATGAGGTTTCTATCTCCCATATGGAGCAACACAGGAGAGAGGAGCAAGCGTGAGCTGAATCACCCTCCCTCTAATGTTGTGTGTGCCCCAAAGCCCCTCACCCTGGCATCCTTTGCCCCCCCCCCCCAATATCTATTGGGAGGGTTTGGGTCCCTCATTGTTGAGAGGGCAGAGGAGACCAAATGCAGATCTAAGTGTGGCATGGCTTCAGTGATCAGCTCCAGAGGTATAGGAAGGTCAGGTGGTACCCGGTGCGGAAAATTTTCTTTCACCACTGCACCCCCACATTGTTTTTCTTTTTTTTTTTGCCTGGTTTTATGTTATTTCATATTTTCTTACAAAGGAATGTGGATTCTGGGCCTCTGATAACAAGTAGGCGACTATGGACAGATACTTAAATCTACAGGATGGATTGTGTTTTGGCTTGTGTTATTTTATTTATATTTATTGTTTATTTATTTAATAAAATTTCTCTTTAAAAACCTGCAAAGTGGTTTACCAAAACAAAAAACCGCCACAGCAGTAAAATCAAGAAAAATCAGCTGCGTACAAGGGGCTGGGTGAAGACAAGGCAAGGCTACTTGGCCTAGTCTCATTTTCTTCACATAGGCCGACTTTCCAGGACCCGGGAAGCCCAGCGGAGGGTAAGGCAGAAGGGTGGTTCATAAAAAAAACTTTAAAAATAAATAAATAAATGCCTGCTCCACAGGTCTTACCTTACTAAACTAGGGATTATATAGCTATATCTGAAATTTCATGCATATCAGTTAATATCTTGACCCTGCTCCACTGAATTGAAATTTCAGCCTTCACAACATAGGAAAATGGCCAAGTAAACAGCTATTTTCATGGAAGAGGGTCAGGATATTAACTGATATGCATGCAATTTCATATATAGCTATATAATCCCTCGTGTAGTAAGATAAGACCTTCGGAGCTGGCATTTTCAAAAAAAAGTTTTTTATGAACCGCCCTAATAGAGCAGTAATTGTTCCTTGATAATTTCTCACCCCCTCTCCATGATGGCACCGGGGGCAGCCTCCCCCCTTTCCTACGCCCCTGGTCAGCTCCTCCTGAGCACGAGAGGAGGAGCCGCCGGCCATAGAACCCATAGAGCTCCACACTCGGCCCCTCCTGATGATGCGATGTTGTGCATGCACCGTGCTCATGATGTCACACGCAGGGGATGTGCTGGACGCCCTCAATCTTGGGCGCAAGTCGGCTCCCCTGCCAGCAGATGTTCACGCAGTACACATAGGGGATCAACTTCTCAGCATAAGCAATACTGAAAAATAAAAATGCTGGGGCTGCTTGGTAAGATCTTGCAGCTGTATTGCTTCACACAGGAGCTAGAGTACCTGAAGATAACCAAGGAATTATATGGAAGCATTCCTACCGAGGGAATTCCTTATGGCCTCTAAGATTATCTCCCACCACTGATCAACTTGTTAGATGCAGTCTTGTCATGTTCTACAGTGGTACCTCTGGTTACATACTTAATTCTTCCGGAGGTCCTTTCTTAACCTGAAACTGTTCTTAACCTGAAGCACCACTTTAGTTAATGCGGCCTCCTGCTGCTGCTGCTGCTGCGCCGCCGCTGCACAATTTCTGTTCTCATCCTGAAGCAAAGTTCTTAACCCGAGGAACTATTTCTGGGTTAGCGGAGTCTGTAACCTGAAGCATATGTAACACGAGGTACCACTGTACTTGGGGCGAAAAAAATTCAACCAGATCTTGGTACCTCAGGATGCGAACGGGATCCGTTCTGGCACGTCTGTGAGTGCGCGGGGCGCGTTTTGCCGCTTCCACGCATGCGCGTGACATCATTTTGAGCGTCTGCGCATGCGCGAGCGGTGAAACCCAGAAGTAACGTGCTCCGTTACTTCCGGGTTGCCACGGAGCACAACCCAAAAGCATTCAACCTGAAGCACATTCAACCCAAGGTATGACTGTACTGTGGTTCTTGCAATGGATGAAGAAAGGGACACATCTCTGCTTGAAAACAAGACAGTTCAGTGTTCTTTTCCATAACTGGATGTTCTGAGCATGTGCAAAATACCTACCCATACAACTACCCAGCTCCTGGCTGCTGGACATTTGTGAGAAAGGCTTGCAAGCACACTTAACTTTTAAAAACAATCTGTGGGGGAAAATGGGCTGTACCTCTTATGCTACATGCATGCTTTCTGTTGTGTTATGTGTGCTGCCTGGATAGCCTTGACATCTTCCTTGGAACTGATGTCTGTAAAAAGCAGAAAAAAGAGGTACTCCTGTCACTTATCAAACGCAGTAGCATTCCTGCTTAATATCCTTGTTTTATTGTGCACCTTTTACTGCATGTGAGTGAAGGTAGTACTGGCTCAGTATTAACAGACCTGAACAAATATTTAATGCATTCTGCTGCCTTGTTAAACAGACAGCTTTAATGAGAAGCATTAATCGAGCAAATGCTGAGCACAAGTCTTTAAATGTCTGACATAATTTGAGCTACGGGGAATGCACATATGCACACCTGTAAGTGGCAAATCTCATTGGGCCTGTCTATAGTTTAAAAGAAGAGTGGCTAACCAGTGGCCCTCCAGAATGTTGTTGGACTACAACTCTCATCAGCTCCTACCACTGGACCACCAATAACATCTTGCAAGGCCACAGATTCCCCATCCTTGGCTTGATTTTTATTATTATTACAAATATATGATTTGCCCAGGGTAAGGTTACAACATTTAAAACACATCTGCTTTTTTGTTAGGACAACCAGCTGCTAAAACAGCAGAAATGCAAGATATGTAATTGAAGGTTGTGATAGGAATTTTATGGTTTTAGATATATGGCAACGTTCATAACCACACGTACATAGATCAGCACAGGAAAGCCAACCTGGAACCATTTTGATTCCTAAACTGAGCAAATGTTTCTCTGCATGATAAAAATGGAAAAACCTCCCCATTGTCTCTTCCTTCACAAATCCTGTCTTAATCTGTGTTTGAATAAGGGTGTGAGCCTTATCATTATAAAAGACTGCCAAGGCTCCCCAAGAAATCCAATCAAGTAACCTGCCAGACAGGAAATAAACAAAGCGACAGGAGAAAACAACATGCAAATGTTCTGTTTTAGACCGCCTTATCTGAGGGGTGGTCTTAGGTTACACCCCTTCTGTGATGAATGCATAATGTTTCTGGGGGTGGTCTTGATCTAGAGGATGGGAATTTCAAAAGTCTTTATAAGCCCTTGCATAGCATTTTTGGGGGTCCTCTTCCTCTCCTGCGTGTGAGGGGAGCACCCTGTTGCAACAGATCAATAAAGATCAGGCTTACTAGCTGCTTTGCTTCTCAATATTCTCTGGTTGGCCTCTGTTATTTTCTCCTACCAATAGGGAACCTATGTAAGGACTCTATATGGGCTCTTGGATACCCCATAAGGGAAAAGGGCATATTTTTATTTACAACAAGGTGAAATTCTGCTATCAATGTGTGTACAAAGTACAAGAGACCAGGTCCTGCCCTGACGAGAAATGTAAGTTGCTGTGAGGCACTTTCGTGATGAATAAATGCAGCTCACAATAGCAGGATAAGACATCAGTGGAAGGGGAAGAAGAAGATGAATGCAGAGGTAAACAGAGGTGGATCATACACCTATATATCTGTGCATGCTTAGGCTCAGGTGGAGTAGGCGATAAGAGGGGAGTTGAGGAGGGAATTTAAGGAAGACAGATTGCCTCACACTTGTTAGATCTTTCTGGATATATGGAGCAAGGAAGGGAGAAGTGGCAGAGTCAGCTGAGTGAACGAAGAGATCTTCAGTTGGCTGAAGGTTCTGGAGAAGCAAAGGTCGCTGTCTGGGGATACAAGTGTGGTGTAATAAAGGCAGGAGAAGGGCAACAGAGAGCTTTGAAGATAAGGACACAGAGTTTGTTCTGACTCCAGAGTGGGGAATCACACGTTCAGAGCAACAAAGGAAAGTGAACGATTTGACAGCAGAGTCTGGGATGGAAGCCTGAGTGGGCTGAGAGACTCCACAGAATAATAATACAGTGGTACCTCAGGTTAAGTACTTAATTCGTTCTGGAGGTCCGTACTTAACCTGAAGCTGTTCTTAACCTGAAGCACCACTTTAGCTAATAGGGCCTCCTGCTGCCACCACGCCGCCAGAGCCTGATTTCTCTTCTCATCCTGAAGCAAAGTTCTTAACGTGAAGCACTATTTCTGGGTTAGCGGAGTGTGTAACCTGAAGCGTATGTAACCTGAGGTACCACTGTAACAAGAAGAAGAAGAAGAAGAAGAAGAAGAAGAAGAAGAAGAAGAAGACACTGGTCAACAACAAATTTGTTGTCTGCGTTTTTTCAGTTGATTTAGAACAAATCTGATGCGCTGAATCCAAAAATCACATTGGTTTTGCTCAGTCAGGTAAAGTTTTTGAGCTATGGCCACATGTCTTTTTTTACGTTTTTGTTCACATGTACGCTTGTGTGGAGCATTTCAGAAGAAGTTGGTGGGGGTAAAATGCCATGTCGAATAATTGTTTTGATTGGAAATGATTATTTTAATAACAAAAAGTTTTCAGGTCCGATAGTTCTGGGTGATTATGTCGAAAAGGGATCAGTTTGAAGTCATAAAACCTCAAACTCTTCCATAAATTGGTGCGGCAAAACATAAAATTGGGGGATGAAAACTAAGTTAATGGGGCAGCCGCCCCACAAAGAATTGTCAAAGGACTCTGCCGAACTGTTGACATCCAGATTGAAGGAAAAAACCCTCCTCTCTGACAGTGCTCGCATCAGCTTCTTCCGCAACAGGCATCAAGAGTACCTCTGTTTTTTCTCGGAAGAGAAGGACTTGGTGTACTGTGCAGATATTGCGCAGCTTCTACTCAAGCTTGGAGTGCCACAGTACGAACCCAAAGATTGGAGACTGTTCATTGACAGCAGCAAGTGATCACTGAAATGTGTTCTGCTACACAACGGCAACCAGTTTGCCTCTATACCCCTGGCTCACTCGACTACACTGAAGGAGAACTATGAAGCGGTGAAGTATGTGTTGGAGAAAATTGGTTATGATCAGCATAAGTGGTTTATTTGTGTTGACCTGAAGATGGTGAACTTTTTGTTGGGACAACAGTCTGGCTTCACCAAGTACCCATGTTTTCTGTGCATGTGGGATAGTAGGGACCGTGCTCAGCATTACACGAAGAAGGACTGGCCTGTGCGGGAGGAATTGGTGCCTTGCAAAGAAAGGAACGTCATCAACCACCCTCTGGTAGACAGAGACAGAATACTCTTCCCACCGCTGCACATCAATGAATGACGAGCAGGGGGAGAGATTCCATCAGGACATGAAAGAGATGGAGACCAGGTATCAGGGTCGCTGGGACGCAGTCATGATGGCTGACTACTGTTGGACTCTGAAGAGAGACCTCCCTGCCCCTGAGCATTCCAGAAGTTCCAAGAAACTGAAGTTCAAGCCCTGAAGTTTGAAAAATGGTGAAGCAACATGCAATTTACGTGTACTTGCTTTTATCAATGCCCACCATTCAGTTTACAGTAATTGATGTTTCTATCAGGTAATCAATATATGTTGTTGGAAAAACATTTTTTCTCTTAAAAACATATTTAGGTTGGCAAAAATCAGCTGATAATGCCACAAAAATGTAATTGATTTTGTCACAAGATCTGATTTTTTTCAAATCAACATAGCACAAAAACCTGACCTGACAGAGAGAAACGGATGCCATTTCCTGATTCAGCAGTGCAAAAATACCCTAAATCAGTTGTAGAAATCTAGACAACATTCAAAAAGTAAAAAATTGTTGCCCAGTGTAATTTATTATTTATACCCCGCCCATCTGGCTGGGTTTCCCCAGCCACTCTGGGCGGCTTCCAACAAAACACTAAAATACAATAACCTATTAAACGGGGGGTGTGGGGGGGGTGTGCCACTACCAAGAAGGCCCTCTGCCTGGTTCCCTGTAACTAGGCTTCTCACAGCGAGGGAACCGCCAGAAGGCCCTCGGCGCTGGACCTCAGTGTCCGGGCAGAACGATGGAGGTGGAGACGCTCCTTCAGGTATACTGGACCAAGGCCGTTTAGGGCTGCACCCAAAGAGCAAAAAGGAATGATACAATGAAACCTCGGGTTACAGACGCTTTAGGTTACAGACGCTTCAGGTTACAGACTCCGCTGACCCAGAAATAGTACCTCGGGTTAAGAACTTTGCTTCAGGATGAGAACAGAAATCATGCGGCGGTGGCGCGGTGGCAGCAGGAGGCCCCGTTAGCTAAAGTGGTGCTTCAGGTTAAGAACAGTTTCAGGTTAAGAACGGACCTCCAGAACGAATTAAGTTCTTAACCTGAGGTACCACTGTAAATGGAGAAAAGTGCTGTCCTTTCAGGGTGGCATTTTTTTCCTTATTAAACTGCTGGCTTTATGTACTCAGACACGTGCGCCAGTCAGTTGTGCTACTTTGCCCTGGTCCAGCAACTTTGCCCTGGTAATTAGCAATATTGCTGAACTGCATGATTCCTTTTTCATTTTTTTTTTTTTGTTCCAGCACTTATCGCGGCTGGCAATGGCTGATGCAACAGGAGCAGGTTTGCACAAACAAATGCTCATACGCATGTGATATGAGCTGCTGTTGCTTTTATTTAAAATCAAGCAAATGGGGAGGAGGGGAACGGCTTTGACAGGGATAACACCCATCTGTAATACATTACCCGTTTCTTAGGCTTCAAGTGACTGTGAGGATGTAAGCTGCGGAAGGTTAAAGGGAACAAATTAAATGAGTAAAGTCTGTGGGGAATAAACAGGAACAAAACATAATGGAAAAGATCGCAGGAGAATGCTGCTCTAGGGATATTAATGCACCGTAATGGCATATTTTCCTTTTAGTATGCCTTGTATTAGTGTTCTGAATCTACCCAACAGTCTATGTTTATATAACTTTCTTCTGAAAAATCCTGCTTGGCTCTACCATTTGGCTTCAAATTCGACACCCAAATTCTGGTCCTGCATCTTTTTTATTTTATTTATCTTCATTTTTTTTAAAAAAATAATATAAACACCTGTTACATACAAAATTTACATTCCTCTCATACACATGTTTTTGGCATCTGTCACAATGGAGTGCGCCAAAAGTGACCTCCCTGGGACGCATGCACCTATTTAAACAATATTTCCTATATTACAAAGGACACTCAAAATAAAATGGATTTTTTAAAAAAACAAAACCTAAAATGGTGAAGGATAATTTCTAGTATCTATGAGGGTGTGCATATGTGACTAGAATAATTTTGAAGGACTAAATCCCCCCCCCTTTTTTTTGGCAAGCAACTGGGGGTTTCTCACATTCATTATTCTAGCATCCTTACATTTGGCTGGAATCCGAGAATTGCAGATACTTGGGTATTGTGCTGGAATCATATTGCCATTTCTGTTTATATTCATATATAGAATAATATAGAATAAAGTCTTGCCACTCACTCAGAAAGGAGTCTTCTTTTATTTGGCCTCTGCCTAAAAGAAGTTTTGGGGATAACTTTTCTGCTAGCAATGTTATCCTTACTTGATTATGGCATTCTTCCTTAGTAATCACTTCTGGTTTAGTAAGCACTCCTAGTTATTCGTACTCATCAGTCTTGCGGTTGACTCTTTAGCAATGCTAAGTTAAGCAGCGAGATGCCCCATTAGCTAAATTGGTACCTCAGGTTAAGAACAGACCTCCAGAACGAATTAAGTTCTTAACCCGAGGTACCACTGTACTTCTTTGCATTTAATTCCCACTTGACCCCACTGTTAACAATGTTTCCCTATACACTCATGTAGACTCAACGACCAAGAACAACTGATCATGCAATAACACATTGACAATAACAGACTGGGATGTTGTAAACAGTATTCTTCGACCTTGGGTCCAGATTTTGTTGGACTACAACTGCCACCATCCCTAACCATGGTTGGAGCTGATGTGAGTTGGAGTCCAACAACATGAAGGGCCAAAGGCTGGCCATCTATGGTTGGAAGCATATTGTTATCATGCCAGTTACAGAGATCAGATGTACTGTGTTGATCTCAGAATTAATGTCCTCTAGTACAAATGGCAGACAAGGAATAACAGTCTCAGAGAGACTGGAACAGCGCAGTGGACAGAACGATGTGCACAACAGGCTCAAAATCCATTCATGAAATGGGCTACAAAATCATAAGTGTCTTCAGTGACCATTGTCTCCTCCTTGTTGAGAAATTAAGACTCTCTTATATTTGCTATTGATAAAACTATTTTATCTGGAAGCAGTTCCCTTATGAAAACTCTGGGGGCTGGAGGGTAGAGCAAGGCAGATGGAAACAACCGGCCCCCTGATGGCAAACCCAGAGTCTCTCTCTCCTCAACTCTGATCTGAATGGTCTTACTCAGGCATCCCTAACCTGCCGTCCTCCAGATGTTTTGGCCTACAACTCCCATGATCCCTAGCTAACAGGGCCAGTGGTCAGGGATGTTGGGAACTGTAGTCCAAAACACCTGGAGGGCCGAAGGTTGGGGATGCCTGGTCTTACTCTTTAGAGCAAGGGTAGTCAGTGTGGTGCCCTCCAGATGTTATTGAACAACAAGGCCCATCAGGCCCAGCCAGCACAGCTAATGTTAAGGCATGATGGGAGTTGTAGTCCGACATATGAAGGGCACCATGTTGGCTACCCCGATTCTAGATGGCAGATTACTTCAAAATGTGTAATATGCTGTGTTTGGGGACCCTCCTGCTCATTCGGTTGAGAAGGCCTTGCCCTGATAGCACCACTACAAAGGAGCAGGTCTGCTCAATCCCCTGATCTTTTAAACTGCCTCCCCACCTTTTCCCTAGCTTAACCACTGGCCAATCCATGATACGTATGCTGCTAGCCTTACTTATTTACTTTCCTTAATTGCTTCCTGAAAAGGGCTCTGAAAAAAGGCAAGTGCAAATATGGCTTTGGGAAAGGCCAAATCAATAATCTCTGCTATTCTCCTTTTATCTTTTTCTTAGATGCCCCAAGAAGCTTTCTCCTCCCCTGGGAAATTTCAGGAAAGGACAGTACCTGCCATATGGTGCCTGCTGTGGCAAAGAGAATTAGCTGTCCCTCCAAGACATTTGCTGCTGTTTTTCGGCTGAGTCCAGGAGATGTCCACTCTGACAGAGGGGAAATGGACAGAACAGAAAGAGGATGACTCTCAGGAAAGCAGAGTTGGTCTTAGTCTTTGAGGGTGGGGTGGGGGGACACCTCACAAACTCTTAATAATTGAATATGCCTTTCAGCCACAAGCTACTTCTGAGAGGGGACAGGAAGCTCCTTTTAAAGCATTTCAATTTCTCGGTTATCTTTCCTTGTGACTTGATCAAAAAAGGAAGAGCAGAAAATACTAAACATACCTTCATCTAAAAGGGATTGTGTGAAATCAGGAGATTTTTAAAGCCATAAATATCGATGTACAGTTATTTCCATTGACTTCTGACTTCCTGGTGTTGTCCTACTTGTGTTTTTCCTCCTTCTCTTTATGCCCTTTTCAACCAAAGCTGATTAAAGCAACCTTTAATTTTTATTTATTTTTAAATAGACTTTAGCAACAAGAAAACAAAGTTTCAGGTGAGGTGAGTACAGCAACTTCCATTTGCATTGCTCTCAGTGTATCTGCGTCTTGGCAGCATTGGCAGGATTGTACCTGACATCAGGCCCAGAGGGATTCTGTGGAAATGAAGATTGCAGCAGCACTCACCTGCCACCTCTCTGCCTAGTGCCAGGATCAGGGAGCACTGGCCAGCTGGAGCTGCACCAATGTCTGTTCCCACTCCTTCCCACAACCTGCCATGCCTTGCAAATGGTAAGCTTGCTTGGAGGACAGCACAGTGGAACCCTTCTCGCGACCTCCTGAATAGTTCAGCCTCCATTGATCTCAAAGCAAAGAGGGTGCCTGGGATAGAACTGGGCTTTAAGCCAACTAAGTGTTGACCCATTGAAACAAATAGACACAAAGAGAGAAGACCTTGCCTCTCTCTTGAAGCCCTCCATGCATGACAAAGAATATGGGGTCTTCTTCTTTGGCGATCACTCGTAGCTGGTGAGATTGTCTTCCATGAATATGGTCTTAACAGTGTGTCTGTAAGTGACTGTCGAGGCCAGTTCTGGATCCACACGTCCTTCCACAGTGGGGACATAGGTTTCTGGGCAGGGGTTGATCACGGTGAGGATTTCCAAACGTGCCTTCCTCTTAGCATGTTTCTCCCTTTCTTCCTGAGTTTGTGCTTCTTCAAAGACCATGATGCCTTTGGTAAGGCTATTCTCCAATCAGAGCACTCGCAGGCCAGTGTTTCCTTATTATTCATGATTATACTGCATTAAAAAGTTTTGACTTGAGAGTGTCTTTAAACCTCTTTCGTTGTCCACCAGCATTTTGCTTTCCATTCTTAAGTTGGGAACAGAGTAGCTGCTTTGGAAGACAATAATCAGGCATCCAAACCACATGGCTAGTTCAATGAAGTTGATGTTGAATGATCATTGCTTTGACACTGGTGATCTTAGTAGATTGATGGCCAACATAAATAATGTCTTGCAAGTCAGCCAAGCCAAAAATATGTGGAACCCTGATTAGTGTTCATGCACATACTTAACATGTGCACTAGGGATGTGATGCATCCACCCACCCAGCATTTTAAGTGACATTCTGGAGATCCCAGGGATAGAGTTAAACACTGAAGAATGACAAACCCTTGCAATTCACGCTAATACCTTAACAAGAGAATTATGCACTTCCAAACAAAGTGCTTAGTTTAACCGTAGACTCCACTGCTGTGAGACAAAGTCATGACCATCAACTTCAATGGATTTTAAATTGGATCGTTCAGATCCATGGAGGTAGGATCTTCCTTGATTTATATGGGGTATGGAGATGCAGAAGGGAGTCGTAAGTGAAGCAGTGCGAGAGGTAATAGTAACACTGTGATGGGAGATGGGTTAGTTTAACAGAATCAAGAACCAGAACCCCGACTAGAACTCTCCCCACGAAAGGAATTCTCTAGAATTCTGCGTTCCACCCTAATTCTTCCTGCATAGAAAACGTTCCACATGTGTTATTGAAAGTAGCTCTTCTACTTAGCTTCTTCCACTGGAGTCACATACTATATGTTATCTCCAAACAGTGTCAGATTTAGGGTGGTGCAGGCGGTTCCCCAGCACAGGGCGCTGAGCCAAGGGTGAGCAAAATAAGAATTATTATTGTGAAAAGAATAAATATTTAGGGAGAGGGTGCAAAATGTTGTCCTTGCTCAGGGCACCATATTACCAAAGTCTGCCCCTGCTCCTGATCATAGAATCAGCGAGTTGGAAGGGACCATGAGGGTCATCCAATCCAACCCTCCGCAATAAAGGAATCTTTTACCCAGAATGGGGCTTGAATCCATGACTCTGGGATTAAGAGTCTCGTGCTGACAGAGCTATTGTGCTTGTGGTGTAGTAGTTTGGAATAAAACAGAAACCAGCTTTACTAGTAACCCATATCTTTGGTCTTAAGCTCCTATTGCCACCAACTTGTGTTAATGAATCAAGAACACACCCCGTTGCTCTTATTGCAAAACCTGTAAAGTTTGTCTTGGGACAGCAATACTTCTTTTTAAAATCACCCTGCGTGTGCTACTCTATGTGCACTTTGTGCCTGAATTAATTTTACATCCTACACAGTCTGGTGGTTGTGCGCACACACAAAATGCTCGTCATAAATGCTTTCCCCTTAACTACATTCTGTTTATTTTGGCATCAGTGTCAATCCATAGCAATGGAAGCAGCAGTAAGTTTCTCCAGAGCTTTTAATCAAGATTTATCCCAGCTGCATTACATTCGTATACATTCATTCATTACTGCAAAACCAGTTTCATGTTGTCCCATTGGTCCCATTTACCGGGGATAGAATATTTTTTGGTATTGGTTCCCAGTCCTTCGCTATCCTTATCCCCCCTTTTGCCAATGTGCTGTTACTGTGTTTAGTGCAAACCCTCCAAGTGTCCTACTTTCCAGGGACAGTCCTGGATTTACAGAAGCCATCCTAGTTTCTGATTTGATCCCAGAATGTCCTGCTTTTACTTAGGACATCCCTATTTTCACCAGAGAAATGTTGGAGAGTATGGAGTTATGCAACCCCTAAGCTAAGGAGCTAAGTAACTATACAACCTTTAGAAGCCATCTGAAGGCAGCCCTGTATAAGGAAGGTTTTTTATGTTTAATTTTTTTATGTTTTTATATATGTTGGAAACTGCCCAGAGTGGGTAGGACAAGCCAGTTAGATGGGTGGGGTATAAATAATAATATTATTATTATGGAATAGGACATCCCTATTTTCATCAGAAAAAATATTGAAGGGTATGATAGTTTGAGTTGTTACTGTCATTCTTCAGAGTTCAGCTTTTGCTCCATGGGCTCCAGAAGTTAAATCCCAGGATGGGGAACGAAAACATCAATGAACTTGGTGGTAGCCAATGTGATGCACTCCAAACACACTGGGTGTCAGGAACTGGGCAGATGAGGAGGACTGGTGGAGACCGTCTCCCCAGGAACCATCCAGAAAGGAGGAAGGGGCAGAGAGTATTGACCTACAAGCATGGTTTGAGACTGGGCACACCCCAGTAGAAGAAGATAGGAGTTGGGAAATAATGGGTGATGAAGAGCAGGAACAAGGTAGCATTGAACAGACAGAGTCTGTACTGCAGCAAAATGACATGCTGTCTCTGAAGAGTCTACCAGAGCCCCCACCTTCTCCAAAAACCAGACGTTTGATGCAAACAGCTGAAAAAAGAGCCCAAAGGAAGTTTGCCCTTAGCAGCCACCGTAAGCAGCTGGAGGACTCTGACTGACAGGGAGGAGCTTTACTCGAAGCAACATTGGTTCAGAGTAGGTATGTTTCTTTGAGCTCCTGTAAAAATAAAAGAACGGAAAAGCTGTCTCTCTGCCTCTCTGATTTCCTGGGCAATTAGCCAGGAGCCGTCGACAGCATCCTGACACTGGACTATAACTCCCATCATCCTTTGCCCATTGACCACAGTGGCTGGGACTGATGAGATTTGAAGTCCTACAAAAACATCTGGAGGACACCACATTGACTACTCCCAATCTGGGCTGCAATTCAAGTTCCTGGTCTACTACACTGGAGGTGATGGTGTGAATGGGGCAGAGTCTGGCAGCATGAACCAATCTATGCAATGTCTAATTTAAAACAAGCAAACAAACATTGGTTTTATAGCCAAATTAGACCCATTGTGTCACGGTCAGGTCTACAGGCAATCGAAGACCCGGCTGAGGAAGTCGGGTGAGGACGTCGGGACCAGGGGCAAGATGGTGGGGTGGGAGCAGGAACAAGAGTCCAGAAGTCAGGGGTCTGAGGGTCAGGAAGCAGGAAGTCACAAAGTCAAGGGTCCAAGGATCAGGAAGCAAGAAGCCAAACACAGCAAGGCAGGAAACATGTTGCTGTGGCGAAGAGCTGAAGGGAAATGCTGACTTTATATCCCTTCCCAGCTCTTCCCACCAGGTGCAGTGAGTTACCAAGCGGCCTCACCTGTGCGGCTGCACCTTGCCTCTCCAGAACAAACTTAGGAAGGCCCCAGTCCTGCGAAACCCTACTGGTCACAGGACCTGGCTCCTGCATGCACTCCTGACACATTGCGTTCAGTGGGGCTTATTCCAAATTGTGCAGAGGATTGCAGCCTTTTATAAATCTGAGACTACAAAAGCTGTAAATGAACAATTAGGAATAAGCATGCAATGAAAGGAAAGGTAAAAAACAAAAACAAAAAAACCACCCTTGTCCTACAGTGCTTTGTTTTGCTGGACACAGCTGCTGCTGCTGCTGCTGCTGCAGCCGCTTCGCTTCCATTGCCTGTGATTTATGCCTCATCTGGAGAAGAACAGTTTAATGCTGCTAATGATTTATTTGGCTGCACTTGGGTTTTGGCAAGGGCAGTCTTTGCAGGGACATGTTAACAGGAAAGAAAGTTAATTGCTTTTAATGTGGATGGTGATGACAATGTTTTTGGAAAGCTATTTGCATACATTTTCAAGACAATAAAACAAGCAATTCTCTCCACGAGTCTACACTTAGGCAGATTGATGCTGTTCTGGCAGATCCCTCAGCTTCACATTAAGGCTCAAAAAATTAACAGATGGAAGTCCTGAGATGTAATGAAACAAAAATGCGTAGCCAATGTAGCAATGCAGTTAGATGGACCTCACTAGGAATGGGCCATTTCAGTCTCTCATTTTTTCAGATCTTTGATTCTCCACATCAGTGTGTAGCTTTTCTTTAAGTTCTCATGAAAATTCATCAGCATTGTGCTGCAAGTTTCTCCTGATATGCATACTTTTGCAAAGCAATACTTTTCTAAGGTAATGCATTTTTCTACATTATTTTTTTACTAAGATGTGTGTTTTTCATGTGCACTTTATTCACT